AGATATATTCACCTGCTCTTGCTTGTCTAGCCTTATATATATATGTAATCCTGCATGTGAAGTGGCCTTGTGGCCTTGAACTTATGCTCGGAATGTGTGGTGACTTTGTGATCCACCCTGAGCTTGCTTTGCTTTGCTTGACTGGTCTTGTGACCCCTTGTTCTCCCCCACTTTGCCTATGGGGGTGTGTCAGATTTTTATGACATAGCTTCGGTAGGCTATAGTGGGGTAGCACATATGGGGTACAACTTTCTAGGGTTTGTACTTGTACCCAACTTTCCCTTAGTCATTTCATTCCTTGTAATTTTCACAGTTAAATCGAACACACAACCTTTGGATCCAGAGCCTTGATTCCGACCATTGTGATAATTCGGACGGAAACCGTGTTTGTTGTATTTTATACATAAAATTATTTTACGACGAAGGAGGTGGTTAGGTTTTCTTCCCTTCTTTCTTTTCCTTTCTAGTATATAGGTAAGAGAGTAGCAGCAGCAGCAGCAGCACTAGGGGCATTACGAGCAAGTTTTACCCGTATGAAAACCCTAAAATTTTTGTTCCCTATATTGTCTACCCCACTATAGCCTACACAGACTATAGCATATAAGTTTGACACACCCCCATAGGCAAAGCGGGGGAGAACAAGGGGTCACAAGACCGGTCAAGCAAGACAAGCTCAGGGTGGATCACAACGTCACCACACAATCCGAGCACCAGTTCAAGTGCAGGTATAGACAGATCAGAGTACAAGCAAGGTCAAGAAGTGAGCAAGTGAGGCCAAGTAGGCACAAGACCTAGCATTGTACAAAAATGTTGATGATCACAAGGCTGAAGTGCCTTGGAAAAGATATTAGCATTGTTGGCCCTAGAGGCCACGTAAGCAAGGCGCAGCGGACCACGCTGCAGCAGCTCACGAGCAAGGAAGTAGCGAAGAGCAATGTGCTTCGTTCTGTGCTCCAGTCTGTGCTCCCGACACAAGGCCAGCATGGCCTTGTTGTCTACGTACAGGACTGGAGGAGAACGAGGCGGCTCTCCGAGGTTAGTCAGCAGGTAGGTGAGCGAGCATAACTCCTGTGCAGCCATGGCCCCCGCGTAGATCTCAGCCTCACAGCTGGAGCCGAGAACAGAAGACGAGCGGGTAGACTGTCACGAAACAGAGCCGGGACCAAGGCTGAAGGTGTAACCCTGTGACGACCGCTGCGTAGCCTGGTCGTCAGCCCAAGAAGCATTTGCATGACCAGTAAGGACCACTGGACGTCGCCCTCCAAGCACGAGCCCCATGCCCGACGTACTGCACAAGTAGCGCAACACCCTCTTTGCTACAGCCATGTGCTCTGGTTGGTGTCTCCCAGGAGCAACATAGCGTGCCAAGATGCTAAGAGGGTATGCCTGGTCAGGTCGAGTGCAGGCCATCAGGTACATGAGGCAGCCAACAAGCTCTGGGTACGGGCCACTCGGCTCTACGGACTCCGAAGGAAGAGCTGAGAGCGAGTGGCGAGTAGACAGAGGAGTGGCCTGAGGCGAGGAGTACGTGAAGTCGAAGCGCTGAAGGACCTGCTGCACCATGTGTGACTGAGTAAGGGTAATGGTGCGCTGTGACCTATCCCGAGTGATCTGCAAGCCAAGGTAGCTGCGCAGTTCACCCAGGTCAGTGCACGTGTATCTCTTCTGCAGCTCGGACTTCACGTGGGCGAGTCCAGCAGTGTCAGCAGTGGCAAAGACCAAGTCGTCGACGTACACGAGGATGTAGAACGGCGGCAAAGAGGTGTCGGTGCGCAGAAACAGCGACGGGTCGGCAGTAGACGGAGCAAACCCAAGAGCCGCAAGTGTAGTCCTCAGTGTGTCGTGCCACTCACGGGGCGCGTGGCGGAGACCGTAGACTGGCCGTCGGAGGCTCCACCGGGTACCAGGAGGAAACGACCCAGTGAAGCCAGGTGGGCGGCGCAGCCAGATCTCCTCGTGCAGGCTGCCCTGTAGGAAAGCAGTGCTGAAGTCAAAAGAGTGAAGCTCGTAGTCACACTGAGCGGCTATGTGCAGGAGCACCCGAAGAGTGGTCATCTTCGGGGTGGGAGAGAAGGTCTGAAAGTAGTCAACTCCCTGCTGCTGACTGAAGCCTCGAGCCACGTAACGTGCCTCGAAGACAGGCGGAGAACCCGGCGGCCGCTTCACCCTGAAAATCCACATGCCACTGACGATGTTTGCCCGAGGTGGGGGAACCTCGTCGACGTAGGTGCCTGTGGACTTCCAGGAAGCCATCTCTGTGTCCATGGCTGCCTGCCACTGAGAGGAGTAGGGACCCTCTATCGCCTCTGCGTAAGAGCGCGGAGTCGGGATGTCTGGTGCATCCGGGTGTCCCTCAGGTGCAATCAGCATGGACACGAGATGAGGTAAAGCAGCAACAAAACACTGGAACTCCTCCTGCCTGTCCTCAAGGACGTCCGTGCCAAGAGCAAACTCACCCCTGACGGACGGAGGACAGACAGACTCAGACTCAGCAACAAGACTAGCGGCGTAGTCCAGACGACAGTGAGCAGCGAAGTCGACAAGCTCAGCAACTAAGGCAGACGCAGAAGTAGACTCAAAGGAAGGGTCAGTGACAACAGTAGCAAGGAGACGCGTGATAGTAGGACTGGCAGCACGAAGGGAGTCCGACTACGGGTCAGCAAGAGCAGGAAGAGAAGACTCGGGAGGAGACGGCAAAGGGACACGCAGTGGAGCAGTGGAAGGACGCAGTGCCATCTCGTGCGTGCCTGGGACCGCAGGAGGACGCTGACGCGGAACACGACGACTACTGCGAGCAGCACGAACAGGCGACGTAGGACGAGACGTAGGCTCACGACGCTCAGCAAGACCTCCAGTAGGACCAGTGTAGGGAGAAGGAGGAGGCAGTGGGGAGGCGGGCTGGAACTGTGACTTGGACTGGACAGGCGGCGGACACCCAAGGGAGGACGGAAGACCAAGAACCTGCTCAAGGAGCGGAACGAAGTACGGCCGCGGCCGCGCAGTGTCCCCAGAACCAGCAGAAACACCACGAGCACCCCCAACTGCAGCACCAGCGCCACTAGCACCCGCAGCTCCAGCAGTGCCAACACCCTCAGAAGCACCAGTGCCAGAAGCACCTCCAACGCCAACACCCCCAGCAGCTCCAGCTCCAGCCGGACCACCTAAAGACGCAGTAGCTCCAGCTCCAGCACCTCCAGCAGCACCTACTCCAGCAGCACCACCAGCGCCAGGACCGCCAGCAGCTCCAGCACAAGGAGCACCCAAAGGCCCAGCAGCTCCAGTACCTCCAGTTAGAGCACCTCCGGGACCAGTGGCACAAGCACCCTCAGCAGCAGTAGAACCTCCAACTCCAGTAGCACCTCCAGCTCCAGCAGCACGGCTCCAGCGCCGAGCAAACCACTCGCGCAGCTCCTGTGGAGAGAGCAGCTCCCGCCGGGACGAAGCACCTGAAGGACCTCCAGGCCCAGTACCGCCAGACTCCACACGAGCAGGCCCAGCACCCTCAGGCTCCGCACCCCAAGTCTCAGCACCCCCAGGCCCAGCACCCCCAGGCTCAGCACCCCCAGGCTCAGCACCCCCAGGCTCAGCACCCCCAGACCCTGCACCCTCAGGCTCAGCACCCTCAGCAGCACCAGAGTCAACAGCTACATCGACAGGCTCGACTGCGTCTACCTTGGACACACCTGAGGGGGCAGTACCCTGAGGGGGAAGGGGGTCTACCTTGGGGGGACCTGGCGCGAGGAAGAGCGGCGGCGGGGGGGGGGGGGGGGGATGCCGTGCGGTAGAGGAAGAGACGGTAGTAAGGAATCGACTCGTCAAATGTGACGTCCTGGGAGGACAGAACACGGCGCGAGGTGGGGTTGCAAAACTGCCAACCAGGCACGTCAGGGGGGAAGCCAAGGAAGACGCAGGGAACAGCACGGGGGGACAGCTTGTCCGAAGACAAGTCGCGGACTGAGCTAGAGACGAGCTGCGTGGATCCAGTCGATCAACACCTCAGTGACATCACCCTTGCTGCGCAAGGGGAAGACTGTGGTGTAACGCGAGTAGTCGTCAACCACCAGCAGGAAGTAGCGCTCGTGACCCTGCCCACGGACGCGGGCTTGGCCCCACACGTCCATGTGAAGCGTTTGCAGCGAAGCCTCTGTCGGAGAAAACTCGGAGGAGTGAGGAGCGGCGCGCTGCCGCCCCTCGACACAGGGAACGCAGGTAGGGGCAGGCCCCGGAGGAAGAGGAGGGAGGGACCGGGGGAGACCAGAGACAAGGACACGGGAGGCCATGCCTCGGAGATGAGGCAGGGAGGGGTGACCAAGGCGGTGGTGCCAGAGGAGAGTCTGGTGAGACAGGAGACGACACGAGCAGGGGGCAGACTCAGGACGCCGCTACCTGACCAGACGCAGCAACCGGAGGAGACTCAGTAGTCAGTGTGTACAGGCTCGACCCTGGCCGACGAGTAAACGTGGCCAAGTGTCGGCCCGTCCAAGCACACGTACAGTGGGTCACTCGCTGACTCGTAGGAGTGAACTGGTGAACCCCCCCCATCCTGTAGATCAGCACCACTCACCAAGTTCGTAGAGAACGAGGGGAGGTAAAGACCAGACAGGGTGCCAGAAGGGGCCGTCGGACACGGTAAGACAGTGGAGAAGTGGGCAAGGACAGGACCCCCAGAGGGGTCTGCCAGGGAGACCGCAACTGGCTGACTAAGCGGCGTGAGTGTGGTGCGGTCTCGAAAGAAGAAGCGGGAAGCACCCGAGTCAAGGGTGAAGGTGTGGAAGGCCTGAGCCGACGTGGTATCTGAGGGAGCAGACGCACCAGCACCTGGGGCAGCGGACGCACTAGCACCTAGAGCAGCAGCCTCACTAGTACCTGGAGCAGAAGCAGCCCCAATGCCCGGGTCAGGCGGAACACACAGGTAATAGTCACCCTCATCACTAGTACACACAGCATACATGGCAGCAAGAATAGCATCATAATCAAGATCAAAGATAGCAACCCCCGACCTAAGCAGCGCTGGGCGGTGTGCGGGCCACTGCACTGCTCACCAGTGCGGTCGCCGGTACGCAGGACGTAGGCACAGGGACCAGCACCTCCACCCCGCTGACACACAGCGTACCACTCACGAAGCTGCTGGGGGGGCGGGGTCTCACGAGTGCGCTGCTGCTGCTGGCCCTGACCACCAACGGAGCCGCCCCTCTGCGCAGAGCCACCCCGACTAACTCCACCACTACCGCCGCCACATCCACCACCGCCGCCACCGCCGCCTCCTCCGCTCCCACCGCCACTGCCACCGCCGCCGCCTCCGCCTCCACCGCCACCACCGACGCCCCCACCCCCGCCACCACTCCCACCGGCACCCCCACCCCCTCCGCCGCCTCCACCACCACCTCCACCGCCCCCGCCAGCCCCTCCAGCACCCTTGCCCCCCTTGTCCTTGCGTGTGCGGCGTCTCCCACTAGGGGCAGAAGTAGAGGCAACAGAGGGCAAAGGGGGGGATGGGGAGCACCCCTCAAAGAAAGGGGTACGAGGGTCATCACGAGAGGCTCCAACAGCGACTACACTCTTCTCAGCTGCCAGGAGGCGCTCCTCAAGGAGGTCAACGGTGAGTGTGGTGGGGCAAACAGAGAGGAAGTGGTCCCAGACCGAGCGAAGGGAGTCAGGGAGCCGGGTGACTATATAGTAGAGGGTGATGTACATGGGCGGGGGGTTCTTGTCGCAGAACTCATCAGGGAGCGCAGCGTAGTAGCGGGTGTCGCTAGTGCGAAGGTGCGTAACGAGGTCAGCGACTGTGGGAAAGGCAGCGAGGTCAGGGAACAGATACGGCAGCATGAGGCGGCTAAGGGCAGCAGTGGCAGGGGAAGAGTAGCGTGCAACTACAGCATCGTACAGGGTCTTAGCACTCTTGTACTGACTAAAATGCGCACGCTCATTGGTCGGCAGCAGCAGCATCGCGTGTGGCCCACTATGAGTGAGCAGCGCTGTCAGTATCGGCAGTAGGGGCAGTAGAGGTCCCAGACGTGAGATCGAACAGTGAGAGACCGTCTTTTCTATCGCACTGCACGAACAGCTGCATATCATCTACCCATACCTCAAAGTCGACAGCCCGACCCTCAGCATCAAAGGTGAGAACGTTAGGGGTAGCAATGACAGCAGCAGCAGTGGCAGGCTAGCAGCAGGAGCAGCAGGCAAGGAGCAGCTCAGTGGCAGAGGCGCTGCTCGGCGGTGCTCTTACCAGGGCGGTGGGTAGAGGTACGAAAGTGGTGGAGCGAGGCCGAGGCGCGCCAGCACGGACAGGGCCGCGATAGGGCGGAAGAAAAGGGCCGCGCCCCAGTTGCCGGGCATGGCCGGGACGGCGGCGGCGGCGTCTGCTAGCGGCGACAGCGGCTGCGGCCTCGGCAACGGCGGCGGCGGTGGCTGCTGTCGACGGCGGCGGCTGCTGCGGCCCTGGCAGCAGCTGCGGCGGCTGTCACGGCGACGGCGTCGGCGGCTGCTGCTGTAGGCGGCGACGGCGGCTGCGGCCCCTTGGCAGCGGCGGAGGCGGCTGTCACGGCATCGGCGGCGGCGGCTGCTGCTGTCGGCGGCGGCGGCGGCTGCGGCAAGGCCGTGAAGGGGCCGCGAAGGGCGGGGACAGGGCCGAGAAGGGGCCGCGAGGGGCCGCAAAGGGGCCGAGAGGGGGTCGCGAAGGGCCGTAGAGGGGCCGCTAAGAGGCCGCGAGGGGTCGTGAAGGGCGGCGACGGGGCCGCTAGGGGCCGCAAAGGGCGGCGACGGGGTCGCAAAGTGGGCCGCGAGGGGCCGTGAAGGGCGGCGACGGGGTCGCGAGGGGTCGCGAAGGGCGGCAATGGAGCCGCGAGGGGCCGCAAAGGGCGGCGACGGGGCCGCAAAGGGGGGGGGGGCGTGAGGGGCCGGGAGGGGCCGCAAGGGGCCGCGAAAGGGCGGCGACGGTGCTGCGAAGGGGCCGCGAGGGGCCATGAAGGGCGGCGACGGGGCCACGAAGGGCCGTGAGAGGGGCCGCGAAGGGGCCGCCAAGGGCCGTGGGAGGGGCGCGACGGGCCGCTAAGGGCAGGGGACGCGACGGGAAGGCGGCACACGGGGCGCGACTAGGTCAGAGGTGAAACGCGCTCCGGGCAGGTAAAAAAAAAATGATTTTCAGTGGTGGGCCCTAGGAGACGTTCCCACTAGGGAACCTGCTCTATACCATGTGAAAGAATGAGGAATGAATGAACTAGGAAACAGGTGAGTACAAGTATGAAAACCCTAAAAGTGTTGTACCTTATATTGTCTACCCCACTACAGCCTACAAAGACTACAGCATATAAGTTTGACAAGTGTTTGTTAGTTTGTTAGGATTAGTGAAAGTAACGCCTACTCAAGAATGTCGAGATTTAGATTAAAGATTGATCTTAAACTACCTTGTTTTTGTGAGCATGCCTTCGTTTTTGCTACCTTGCTTTTTCTACCTCTGTTTTGTTGCTTACTCAGGCTTCCGTATGCTTTTTCCTTTCCTTCTATCTCCATCCGCTAATCTTATCTCTTTTTTCCAATTCCCTTCGTCCTTGTGTCTCTCTTTCGTTTCCCCTCCTCTATCCTCTCGCTGGCGTCGATCTGCTGGTGCTTGGCGCGCTGGCGACTTTTTGCTTGTGCCAGGCGCGCTGACACAACCACGGTATCCATCTCGAGGCGTGCTGACCGCGGCAGCTGCAGCAACGAAGATGGCAGAATTTGGTGAGAGAAGAGCGTGGGAAAGACACAGAATCAAAGAGGGAGTGGGGAGGGAATGGAGAAGAGGATGAGTGCGGGAAATTAGGAGATTAGAAGAGAAGTTTGTAGTAATATTCGTTTGCCCCTTCTAAATAAAATGTTTGTTTTTTACCGTCTCGGCCAAAGCCTCTGAATCCGAAAAGCATCGCAAACGTTTGGGCCATCTTTTTGCGGCGGGATTGTAAATGCCTTAGGGTTTGTGTCTCTATTTTCCCTCCCACCTTTCATTTCGCTGGTGGGGCTTGGTTGATACCCGCCTGCTAGCCATGCTCTACCTACAACTCTAAAGTGAGAAAGATTCTAAGCTATCAATTAGAACGAACTTAGATGATTATAACTTAGACTAGGTTTTCGCTATCTCGTTCCTAGTCGTCTACTTTGAGAAGAAACGAGGAACGAGGGAAAGTTGGGTACAATTACAAACCCTAGAAAGTTGTACCCCATATGTGCTACCCCACTATAGCCTACAGCAGCTAAGTCATAAAAATCTGACACACCCCCATAGGCAAAGTGGGGGAGAACAAGGGGTCACAAGACCAGTCAAGCAAAGCAAAGCAAGCTCAGGGTGGATCACAACGTCACCACACATTCTGAGCACAAGTTCAAGGCCACAAGGCCAGTTCACATGCAGGATTACATATATATATAAAAGGCTAGACAAGCAAGAGCAGGTGTATATATATATGTAACAGTACAAACGAGGTCAAAGGGTGAGCAAGTGAGGTAAGATAGGCACAAGACCCAACTAAGTACAGAAGCGCTGATGATCACAAGGCGCAAGTGCCTTGGTGAAGATATCAGCAGTGTTGGCCTGAGAGGCCACGTACGCAAGGCGCAGCTGACCACGCTGCTATAGCTCACAAGCAAGGAAGTAGCGAAGAGGAATGTGCTTCGTTCTGTGCTCCAGTCTCTGCTCCCGACACAAGGCAAGCATGGCCTTGTTGTCTACGTACAGCACTGGAGGGGAACGAGGCGGCTCTCCGAGGTCAGTCAGCAGGTAGGTGAGCCAGCGAAGCTCCTGTGCAGCCATGGCCCCTGCGTAGATCTCAGCCTCACAACTGGAGCCGAGAACAGAAGACGAGCGAGTAGCCCGCCACGAAACAGAGCCGGAACCAAGGCTGAAGGTGTAACCCTGTGACGACCGCTGCGTAGCCTGGTCGTCAGCCCAAGAAGCGTCTGCGTGCCCAGTGAGGACCACTGGACTCTGCCCTCCAAGCACAAGCCCCACGCCCTACGTACTGCACAAGTAGCGCAACACCCTCTTCGCTGCAGCCATGGGCTCCGGTCTGTGTCTCCCAGGAGCAACATAGCGTGCGAGAATGCTAAGAGGGTATGCAAGGTCAGGTCCTGTGCAGGTCATCAGGTACATGAGGCAGCCAACAAGCTCTGGGTACGAGTAACTCGACTCTACGGACTCATCCGAAGGCAGAGCTGAGAGCGAGTGGCGAGTAGGCAGAGGAGTGGCCTGAGGCGAGGAGTACGTGAAGCCGAAGCGTTGAAGGACCTGCTGCACCATGTGTGACTGAGTCAGGGTAATGGTGCGGCGTGCTCTGTCCCGGGTGATCTGCAAGCCAAGGTAGCTGCGCAGTTCACCCAGGTCTGTGCACGTGTGTCTCTTCTGCAGCTCGGACTTAACGTGGGCGAGTCCAGCAGTGTCAGCTTTGGCAAAGACCAAGTCGTCGACGTACACGAGGATGTAGAACGGCGGCAAAGAAGTGTCGGTGCGCAGAAACAGCGACGGGTCGGCAGTAGAGGGAGCAAACCCAAGAGCCGCAAGTGTAGTCCTCTGTGTGTCATGCCACTCACGCGGTGCTTGGCGGAGATCGTAGACTGGCCGCCGGAGGCTCCACTGGGTGCCAGGAGGAAAAGTCCCAGTGAAGCTAAGTGAGCGGCGCAGCCAAATCTCCTCGTGCACGCTGCCATGCAAGAAAGCAGTGCTGAAGTCAAGAGAGTGTAGCTCGTAGTCACGGTGAGCAGCTATGTGTAGCAGTACCCAAAGAGTGGTCATCTTCGGGGTGGGAGAGAAGGTCTGAAAGTAGTCAACTCCCTACCGCTGACTGAAGCCACGAGCCACGTAACGCGCCTTGAAGACAGGAGGAGAACCCGGCGGCCGCTTCACCCTGAAAATCCACATGCCACTGACGATGTTCGCCCCAGGCGGGGGAACCTCGTCAACGTAGGTGCCTGTGGACTTCCAGGAAGCCATCTCTGCGTCCATAGCTGCCTGCCACTGAGAAGAGTAGGGACCCTCTATCGCCTCCGCGTAAGAGCGCGGAGTCAGGATGTCAAGTAACTAGGGCAAACGCAGTAGTGGACTCAAAGGAAGGGTCAGTGACAATAGTAGCAAGGAGACGCGTGACAGTCGGACTGGCAGCACGAAGGGAGTCCGACTCCGGGTCAGCAAGAGCAGGAAGAGAGGACTCAGGAGGAGAAGGCAAAGGGGCACGCAGAGGAGCAGTGGACAGACGGAGAGACATCCGGTGCGTGCCGGGCACAGGGGGAGGACGCTGACGCGAACCACGACCACTAGTGCGAGCAGCACGGACAGGCGACGCAGGACGAGACGCAGGCTCACGACGCTCAGCAAGACCTTTAGTAGGACCAGTGTAGGGAGAAGGAGCAGGCAGTGGGGAGGTCGGCTGTAACTATGACTGTGACAGGACAGGCTGTGGACACTGTAAGGGAGGAGGAGGACCAGTAGAAGGTGGGAGACCAAGAACCTGCTCAAGGAGCGGAACAAAGTATGGTCGAGGCCGCGCAGCAACTCCAGACACAGCAGGGACAGCACCAGTACCCCTAGTGGTAGCACCAGTGCCAGCAGCACCTCCAACTCCAGTACCCCCAGCAGCTCCAGGACCTCCATCAGCTTCAGTAGCACCCCCAGCAGGACCGCCTCCAGTACTGCCAGCAGTACCCTCAGCGCCAACACCCTCAGTAGCTCCAACTCCATTCGGACCACGAGAAGACACAGTGGCTCCAGCTCCAGTAGTACCCGCAGGCCCAGCAGCTCCAGTACTCCCAGTACGAGCACCTCCGTGACCCATGGCACCAGCACCCTCAGCAGCAGAAGAACCTCCAGCTCCAGCAGCACGTCTCGAGCGCCGGGAAAACCACTAGCGCAGCTCCTGTGGAGAGAGTGGCTCCCGCCGAGACGAAGCACCCGGAGAACCTCCAGGCACAGCACCGCCAGA